ACAAACTTTAACAATTGCAGCAGCAGATCTTACTCTGAAAAGTGAGTATAYGGTTCAGTAGCATAAAACAGTAAATTGCCCTTACAGTTTATTGATCAAAATGTTGTAGCTTTTAAAGAACTTTGAACTGCAATCTTCTTTTTTTCTCTCTCCTTTCTTATGAGACACACTGCATTTTATTGCACAAGATATCGTGTGCAGTATTTTAAGTAGTAAATTTGGAACCAAAGGGCCTGTAACTGTTAACTGGAGTCTTTTGTGTGTTGTCTTTGTTTTAATCCAGTTAAAATGAATTACTGATTATAGGAAAAAATAACACAACTCTTTTTAAGACTTCTTCCAAACTGCATGGAGAAGTCAGTTGTGTGGTGATTTCTGGCTGGTGTCTGTGCAGAAGTAGTGATAGAATTCAAGAGGGGAATAACCTGGGAATAGGAGATYAGAGTCAATAATAACCAGAAATTCTTTAAAAGTAGCTGCTACTTTAATTTCTCTTTTACTGGCTAATGAAATAATAAATAAAACAAATATAACAAATGTGTTTAGAGGGTTGAGAACTTCATTCAGCAAGAATTTTTCCAAATTCTTATACTTAATTGATTCTTTTTATTGCTGTCTCTCTTCTGTTTTTGTTTCTCTTTGGCTGGCTGCTTTTGAGTCTCACATATATATGTGAGTTCTGGGAATCGTCTGTTTGTTTGCATTTCTATCACCTTGTGGTCACTTTTGTATTTTTTGTTCTGTGACCCAAAATGTATATGCTTACAACTTGTTATTTTGTTTGTTTTTTTCATTTTCAAGATGATCTTAAAAGAGTAGTTGTCTTTGTGGATTCAAAGCTTGTGCTTTATTTCATCTCTTTTGTTACTGCTGTATTTTGCTGTCTCTCCTAGACATATGGTAGCTAGTCTTCAGGTGCTTTAAAGCAAGCTTTTCATGTTCTTTCTCTTCAGAGCTTTTAATATGAACTTTATCTCTGTTCATTTCTTCAGTGTATTAGATTCTGTGTGCTCTGGTAGGCTGTACCAATTCATTCTGCCGAGTTGTTTATTCACAATCAGGAGTTTGTATTTTGTGAAAAGTTGTGATTGAAAGTTTAAGTTGGTGTTCAGTGAGATTCTCTCTTAGAATCATATGATACGGAAAAGGAAAAAAATACATGCTTACCAGTGTTCCATTTGTAGTCTTTTCTGTGCCAGCATTTTTTGGCCACATCTATTTTGTCTCCCTTAGGATGACTCTGCCAGTTCTTTCAAATGAATTGTTSTCTCAAATCTGTGTTCCTCAAACCTGTCTCTTTCATGAATTGTAGAAAGAAGAATCTCATATTTTCTTAATACTGTTTTTCTAATACTTAGAGCAGCCCCCTATGTCTGTGTGTGTAGATAKATATACTGAGATGTTTGAATTATATAACCTATACATGCAGTAATGATTTTGGAATATTCTTGGGGAAGGTTTGGAGTAGTATCTGTCATACAACTGGAGAACACGTACCAAAAGCATGCAGGAGTATGGCTGTGGATGGGGTTTATTCCAGTTCTGTTTGAGCCATTATCTGGCTTTGTCTGAGAGCTGAGTGAGACCAGAAGTGGATGGTGGTCCCTGGAGGAGAAGGGACCACGTTCTCCAAGGAACAAGCAGAGCTGCTTCTGTTCTGCATGTCCCCTCCCCATGGCCATCATGTCYTGGGAGCTCAGGAGGTGGCTGCCCTTGGTGGCTGCTCTTCACGGCCCATCTTGTGTAAGAGTCTTCCAAAGGTTTTATCACTTGAGCATTGTTGGTTTGAACTCACACTGCGGACATCAGTCCACAAGACTTGTGCTGCACTGCAGGTCCTGTAGCTACTTAATCCTTCCCCAAACAAAAACTGGAAAACAAGTCACGCTGAAAGATTCTTTTGTTGTCGAGCAACAGAAGTCTGGCACTACTCCTGGCATTAAGAATGAGTTTGCTTGAATATTTTCCTTTTAGAATATTTGGTTTAGGTGAACTTGTTAACAAGTACATGCAAAACTGAGAATTATTGTTTGGAATGATTGGTAAAAGTCAAATTAACTAGTTTTCAAAACCTTGGTCACTGTGTTCGCTATTAGCTGATGTAGTGAATTGTAGATGCTTCTATATGAACTATTTGATTTTATATAAAAATGCATAAGAATTATGAGGTTTAACTGAGCTTTTTAATACAGCAATTTTTTTCTATGCAAAAGCAGCTTGACATGTGACTCAAATCAAGTGGTTTCCAGTAGATATAAAAGATTGCCTACTATAAAAATTAAAAATCAGAATCTATAATGTTTATGGATATTTGACAGATGGGCTAAGAATGCTACCAATCTTGGTGTAGACTTTTGATTCAAACCTGCTTTTTTGTTAACTAACAATTGAGAATTAACCTTTTTATTGAAGACAAAACAGGGCATTTGAGTACAATTGATTATTTAAATCAAGATTACTTACTTTCTGATTTGAACTATAATTGTTGATTTTGTTCATTTTGATCTAAGTCAAGCAAATTTGACTAAAGATCCAAGCTTATTTTTTTAACCTCAGTCAGATTTGTGAATTTCCTGTTGATAGAGAGAAATGGAAGGAGACACAGGCCTTACCAGGCAGATGARTATCTTGGATGTAGCTTTTAGCTAGAGCAGAATGGCTCCAAGTCAGCTAGTCTCATCAAGGTGTGCATTACTTTTTATTCCTTCCCCCTTTCCTTTTCCACAGTTGCTATTTTATAGTTGCTTTAGGCTTGTTCTTTTATCTGCTGCTCCTTGAAGCTGGAAGGTGGGCCTCTGAAAGTGGGTTTTAATCTTATAGCCGAGATAAAACAGCACGTTGGTAGACTGGGCTGTCTGCTCAGATCTATGAAGTGACAGTGTGTGCTCACTAGTGGCGCTTCTCTGCGGGATGCATGTGTGAGTTAATTGCATGGGCATTAAATGTTGTGAAATATAGCACTGCTACTTGTATATGCATGTGTCAGGGATGATATATTCAAAAGCCTTCATAATAATGTTAAGGTTTATGAGAGAGACTTTGGATAAGTGGTGAARGACAAGTGTTTATGAATGTAAAACTAATTTTTTCTCCAGTCATGATAAAAGCTGCTTTGTAGCTTGCTAGCCAAAAGCTCAGCCTACAGACCCAGTTTCCAAGTTCCCTGTCCYTGCTTTTCATCTGTGGTTTGCACTGGCCTTCAGGGTCCCTCCAGGTGYTAGTTCCCTTTGTGGGAATGACCATGAAGTAACAGTTTTTATAGTCTACCTGAGGTCTTATAATAAGAAAACAAATTAAATTCAGAGATTCAAAAATATGTTAGATTGTGATCCTAAATCTGAAGGCATTGCATAAAATGAATAATGTATTGCCTCTGAATACCTTTGAGAAATAAAAACATACTATGGAGCTGCAGTAGGAATGTCACGTACAATTGGAGGTGGTGTAATGTCAGGATGCCCTGTGGGTATTCTGTTCTTCGAGCGTGTTTTACCAGGTTACATTTAAAGGAATTTAAGATGCATCATGGTGAGCTTGTCACTGTTTTGTGGAGTTGCTTCATTAAGAAAATATGTGGCTCTATGCTGTACAGGAGGGTTTGTGTTGCTGTGACGCGTCCATCTTCTATGTTCTGTTTCAAAGCAAGTAGCAACAGGTAGAGCTTTCCTTTGGTATAATGGAAAATTGAAAACTAATATTGAGATTTGTGTTACTGAAAGCCTTTAGCTTGGAGGCTTTATGCTTTCAGTATAAAGCTGCCTTAGAATTCTTTTTTAATCATGCTGTTAGTAGTAGTCGAAGCAATATTATAGTAAATCCTCTTTCTCTGATGTTTTTACTTGTTTGGTGCTGGCTTGCATAYAGTATGTCTTCATGAGAAATCAATTTATTTTGGCTTCCTGCCAGTAGGATAGCAATTCATCTCTACATATGAGAATAATCTTTTGCCGGTGTAAGTTGTAACTGCCAGGAATCAGCAATACTTTCCAGAGTAATTTTTCAGTTTCTTGATTTCTGTGAGTGACTGTGTTCAGTCCTGAGTTGTTAGCACAGATACTACCCAATCTGAAAAGATGAGTAAAATGTGAACTAATTTATGTGTTAGGTCTATGCAAGCATAAACTTTTTGTCATAGAATACATAGCAATAGTATTTTCAGAGATTTGTGTTTGGCACTTTCAGAAAAAAGTGTCAAACAAAAAGTATTTTTTAAACARAATATTTATTTAAAATGAGTGGAAATGTCTTTGCAGAGCTGGTCCTAACATCTCTCCTGCAGTTTTTATTAATGTAAAAGCACCAATGCATTATGAAAGTTTGCATAATAACAACAGGGTGTTAACTTAGCAGCTACTTWATTTGTGCTTCTGTTGGTGTGGAGAGTGTGTCCTTCCTTTAAATTATTCAGTAATGAACTCATCCCTTCTGCAGYGCCAGTATGCAATATGTTTGCCTCCAAGACAGGTACATGCTGCACTTTTGTGTGTAAGGTTTCCCTATCTCTGTATCGATGAAATAAACATTGGCACCTGCAGGCATCTGACCTGGCTTGTTGGGAGAGGGACACAAGTTCTTCTCCAGCGGTGGCTGGGCTTGCGTGGCTGAAGGGGCTGTGTGGGATTCTCCAGCAAATATACCTAGAACTGCAGCCAGCTAAGCATAGGTAACGTTGCACTGAAATAATGCACACATTAGTATATAGTGTTTCTTAAAAGATGACACCAGTTCCATTTGAGTTGTTTTTCTTTTCAAATATGGAGAAATAAATGTAATATCCGTCTAAATTTTATGGGAGGAATAATGTAAAGTTTAGTGTAAATAAGGAACATTCAGTGTGAAAAATGCAGTTATATTTAAAAGAAGTAAATGGATATTTTACCTTTTCCTTGGAACAGTTATTTCTAACTGCTAATTTGAGATAACAATAAGGATGAAGAGCTCTGCTGACTGTTTTATAGACTGTTCATAATGAGTATTGTGTTTTTCCCCCTCTCTTTTAGGCTGTGCAATTAACCCCTAGACGATGGCTGAACCTGCAGGAGTACCAGAGTAAAAAACTAATGGCAGACCATGGGGTTACAGTTCAGAGGTTCTTTGTGGCTGATTCTGCAAATGATGCCCTCCAGGCTGCTCAGAGACTGAGTAAGTTGACTGATGATGGGAGGAAACTGCTTCACTAGATAGCAGTCTGGAAAAAAAAACACATTGCTTTCTAATAAATTGATGCTTATTGTCAAGGTTTGAGATATTGTCCAAACCACAAATACTTTTTTCATTTCRTATGTGAAGAACAGTTGATAACAACAATATTTTTCAGAGCTTTGTTTCTAAAATGTCTTGTAAAGCACCATGTAGCATGTCTTTATAGTCTTTAATTAACRTTATTTATGTCACTTTGGATGCTTCAGAGATGAGCGTTAAACTACAAATGGTTTCTTAGAAGATTTTTGTAGTGTTCTATATGCGATTATAATTTAAGATGAACTTGCCTGGAAAGATATTTTCAAATAAAGACTAGCTCTTTTAAAAGGCAAAGGAAGAGGAAGGTTGCAGAGTTTCCATCCTTGGAGGTATTAAAAAATAAAATAGAACAATAGATGTGGTCCTGGCTGCTGTAGCTGACCCCGCTTTGTGCGGGAGAGGATGGACTAGATAGTCTCCAGAGATCCCTTCCAACCTCAACAATTCTGTGAATCTAAGAAAGAATAAAATGTGTGAGGAAAACCAATTATGTATGCAGTGTGTTTATCCATATGGAGAGAGAGAGAGAGAGAGAGAGAGAGAGAAGGTGAGTTATTTACCATTACAAAAGGATTTGATAATGTGATTGGGAGGCAAGACCATGCTTCTGGAAGTTCTTGTAGGCTCTCTGATAGCTTGTTCCTTTTAGTCTGGTGTATATGTAAGATGAGAATTTGGACAGAAATTAATTTATGTAATACCTATTTTCCCAAAAGTTAACCACTTGTTTCTGACCATAAGCAGGGGGGAAGTTATCTTTTTAATTTATTAGTAGTATTTTGTTCAATTTCCTCCTTTCATCAAACTTTGTTACAGAAGTCAGAGGACAAATACCACTGTAATGTAATTGTGTAATAACAGTAAGGTTTTTTGGTTATGTCTTACATAATGCAGAAGTGACTTGGTTAAATGTGAGTAGCTGAATAGGATTAGCTTAATACCTTGTTACATCTCTGTAACTTCCGTAAGGTGATATGCTTTTCAATAATCAAAATGTTTTTATGTCARCTAGACTATTTGAGAAGATATTTCAAATAACGAAAACATAATTGCTATGCTTAACAAATGACCCTAATAGTAAACTGAAATATGCTGGCAAAAAGTGAAGTCATAAAACGAAGAAATGTGAATAAATGGTGATTTTTATATCCAGGTATGAAGAAACCCTGCAAAGATCTCAAGAAAAGCTGACTTAGGCTGTGACAGGTTTTTCACAAATTTTGCAGCACTTAAGCCCACTTGTTCATAACTGAACTTATAAATGGATTGGTTTGTCCAGTAGCTATTCTGGATCCCTATAGCTATTGCAGAAATAAATTATTCTGTAAAAGTCAGTGAATTTGTTGTCGTGTGATGCCAAACTTATTTTAAAATAACTCTGTACCTTGCTCATTTTGCACATCACAAAAATACTGGTATATAGTAAAACTGTTAAAAATGAGGAAAAAAATCAAGTAAAATACAAATTTTTGTAATGTTGGACTGACTTGTTTATACTTGGAAGCAAAAAAAAGTCTGGAGTAACTTGATTCATTGTGTATTGCTGCATTTGAGCATGGAGCATTACTGGGCGTTAAGGAATTATGCTTTGCAATGTGAAAGTGGTTTTGTGTTGAAATGATTGATGTACTCTGATACACAAAGTAATTAACATCATGCCTCTAACAAATGTTGTGCTGTCATTGTGCTCTGAAGGCTCAGCATCARGAACACAAGCTTTTTGATACTGTGGTCATTGTTTTTCAAAGAATTTTTTGGATGTATTCTCTTTATGATCCTGCAGGCTGCTAGGAGCGCTGTCCCTCAGTTTTCTGTGCAATATGCCATGTCTTTGGAATCAGAGAGGACCAAACTGCRAAGTAAAAAGCTGAGCAAGACAGAAGGATTTAAGCTACAGGAGACACAATATATTCCAAAAYAAAGTAACTAAAAAGACATCTTTGGGATGCTCTTGCTAAACAAGTCTTACTGGATAAGAGATGGTAAAAGAGTGGGTCAATGACTCTTGCTAAGTCTTATTCAAAAATAAGRTATTTTAGCTACTTTTGTGACACTRCAGCTCTTAACTTTCACTTGTGTAAATGAAAAAGATCTTTGCTGGTATATTTTTAAGGTAAAAATGGAAGATAGTCATCACAATTTGAAATTGAGATGGGTTCAGCATTTTTGTTGTGACAAGAAGTTCTTTAGGTAGATGTAGCAACCTGAATTCAGGAAAAGCAATATTTACTGAGGCAGTTTTACAGCATTATCRTGGACAAGAATCTGTATATGATAAAGGGGGACAGATGAAGGGATAGAATCTGCCTGGATATTGAAATCTGCACAAAGAGTTCACAGAATTCACATGATTTTGTACAGTCTCACCAAATGCTGCAGGCTGGAAAGAGCCCTGTGTCATACTGCAGTGCCTGGAGTCAGCAGTATTTCTGATGCTGGGTTTGCTGTGGATGAAGGGGAAAGAGGTGGCAATTCCTCCTGCTGGGTCGTAGATGCCAGGAGATTGGTATTGCATGTGATTTTGAAAAGGTTTACCTCTATCTGATATTTGTTTTTTGTTTTATTTGTTATTTCCACTACTGCTCTGTATTTAAGAGTACATAAATTGAATACACTGAATATTAATTTTCTCTGAAATATGCTTCAGAACTTATCAACGGTACAAAAGGCAGTCTAGGAGGAATTGTAAACTGAGCTAAAGGATTTTTTTTCTCCTTTAAGATAAGGCTGGCAGATGTTAAGAAAATTAAAATGACATCATGAGTATTGAATTCAAAAGAAATTGTGCATGGTAAGGAATACAGAATTAGGCCCCAAGGAATTCATAGCTTTTTACGTGCTAAGCAATTTTGAGGTGCAACTCTTGTAGAGAAGGCAATATTTATARAATACCAAGAAATTCAGTTACAAATGCTTTCAAGTTTCCTGTTAAAATTGGTAAATTTTTCAAAAGCAGAAGGATATTGTGCTGTTTTGCTACAACAGTCTGGTGTTGCTTGATCTGCCTTCAAAAGCAACACCCCTTGTAAACAAGCTCTTGCAGGTGTAGTTCTGTTCTTTAACAAAGAGTAAAGTGAAGTATCTGGTAGCGGTGAGAGATGATCTGTTTGTTCCTGTATGAATGCATGAATATTTCAGTCTGATTCTCACTTAATGTTGTGGTCCATCTGGTYCTGAGTTATCCAGAGAAGACACTTTTATTTTTCTTTCTTTTCTACATATTGYAGCACTAAAATAGCAGAAAAAGATATGCATAAACATACCTCTGCTGTTAGATGTGGACACTTTCATTGGTGATACTGGACATACGCAGGGTGCATCATTCCCTTGTATATTAGTCTTTGTGTGATATAGAAGTTATGGGATCCAACATTTTAAACCATATCAAGCAGGTGAACAAAGCTAAGAGGAGCTGCATTTATGCTTGTTCTCTGCTGTGATAGAAAACTAGRGAAGGTTAAAAATGCTCTATATTCTGAATGAATGTCAGGAGCTTCACGTGTGCTGCTTCCTCTGCTCTTTCACAGGAAGAGTAAAGAGCTGTCCATTGCTACTTAGGGTTTCATTACATTTAGGCAGTCATTCAGATGCAGTGTTCACACTCTATCAGAGAAATGCAATTGAATTGCTTSCAAGGCTTTTATTCACTCTTCTTTAAAAAATGTATAAGATATAGTCTCTGCATATCCTATTTCGATTGCCTTATGCATGACAGATCTCATGAAACTGCTCCCAACTAAAGGCATGTGTTTTCTATCACTCTGAAGAAGTTGACATGTATTTCATAAAGAACAAGAGGTTTATTTTAACTTCTTTCTATGAGGRCATTTACCTGTCACCTATTACTCATCTCTTTTTGTTTTTATTTTTTGTTAGTTTGAAACATTCTCAGGTGATCACTAGTCTCCCTCCTACTTCTCAGCATGCTGTGTTTTCTTTTTTTTTTTGCGTTGACTATGCTTGTTCTTGTATGGAAGAATGTTTTAGATCCCTTATATCAGAGATTAATTTTGAGATAAGTTAGAAAAATCATTTGAAAGCAGCATGTGTGTAGGAGAGATCAGAAGTTAGACTTTATCTTGGTAGTGTCCTTTTTTTGAGGAAATGCCRGTGGTAAAGTTCTCACTTTAATCTCATTTTTAATCTCATTTAATCTAATCTTTCATGTTAGGAAAAGTGAAAAAGATCCTTGAATTTGACATTTCTAAGGAAATTAGAGAAGTAAAATTAGGTTCTCTTTTATAATATCAGGAAGGGCTTTCCTGGGAAGGAATATCCTGTAAAAAGACCAGCCTTGTGTTGTTATCTCTAAGTAACTTATTCTATTTAAYRTTGAATTTTTGACCTTATTAGCTGCWTAGCTGATCTTTCTTACTGTTGTCATGTGCTTTACCTACATTATTCAATTTCTTTTCTTTCTCTGTAAGGATAGGTAGGAGGTGAATTGTCTCATTCTACCTCTGGACCTGGTAGAATTTTTTTCTTTGCTATTTAAGGTGTTGATGTCCCCACATGCCCCCAAATACAGTTTGTGTCTCTGTAGTCTCTGTGCATATTGAAGGTGCATGCAGTCCCGTATTCCCTTTGCCAGTCCCTCCAATAGGAATTTGTTTGTAGCAGGAGTTTGAACTTGGCTTCACCTACGCTGTGAAAGAGTGGAGGACAAAGTCCCAAGACTAGAGGGAACTCGCATTTTCATGTGACTTAAACTCCGCTTTCATTATGCATTTCAAAGCTCTACAAAACTCACCACTGTCACTAGTTTTAATCTCGTCGTAGTTTGTCCGTTTTCCAGTTTCCTATTCTTTGTTAGTCCTTTCCTCACTGTACCCATTTTGTGTTCTATCTCTTCCCAAAGACATCTTCCATCCTGTACTTTGTGATCGAGTCTTTTGTGCTAA